ACAGATTCTTATCACCAAAGAGAAAGAGACCCCCAGAGAACTCATTCTACAAGACAATGAATACAACCCTGAACAGGTAAACAGAATGTTATTTTCATGATATTTTATTATAAATAGAGTGCATGATCTTTATAGCAAAATAACAAAGAGAATAAAAATCACTGATAATCTTATCACCCCAAAACAACCATTTTTTAATATGTTGGTATATGTTAGTTGATTTTATAATTTCTGAAGTCATATATACATATGTAATTTTTCTTATGCTACCCATAATACAGCATGCCCCATGTTAAAATTCCTTAGCAACATTAATTTTATTAATTACATAAGCTGCAGGGCTGTGTCATAGTCTTCATGTTGAGCAGTGCTGAGGCAGAGAGCCAGCCAGCCATCAGAGGCTATATTTTCTGTTGATGTCACACCAAGGAACTTCAGGACTCATAGACAGAACTCTGGAAGAATCCCGCTCCCTCTTTGGTCCTGCAGCATCCTCTCGACCTCTCCAAGGGGACCTCTGGCCAGGAGACAGCAGGTCCTCACTTTGCTGATTTTTCTCCCCCAAGTCCCGGGGCCAGATAAAGGAAATTAAATATGGTTCTGATAATCAGGCTCTGAGTCATCCTCCTGAGCCTCTGGGTGCTTGAGAAGTGAGTAGGTGATTGTGTTCTCAGCCTAGAGAAAGCAAAAACAAGGGAAGATCTTGGGAAAGACAACAGCAGGGGAGAAAGGAGGCAACAGGACAAGGAGATGGCTGGGATCACTCACCTCAGATTTAACAGCTTCCTCAGGATCAGAGAGATTGGCTGTGGGCAAAACCAAGAGAGATCAGCCCTAGCACCACTGGACCAGAAGACGTACTGTACTGCCACAGAAGCGGCAAAGTTCACGCCAGGCCCAAGGAAAAGGTTGCTGAGCCCAGTTTACGCCTACAGGCCAAGTGCCAGGTTGGTGTGGCCTCAGTCATGCAGGTTGGGGTTTTCCAGCCTCTGACTCTGTGACCACAGTGACAAGGGGAAGCAGTGATTTGTGCCACATTATTTTCAGAGCATCTATGAGCTTTTCTAGAAGTTTTAGGGACCTAAGGGGTTGGGGAAGGAGTGGGGAGTGTTCAGTATCAGAGTGAAACACAGTCCAGATTTTTTGTTGGCCACAGGCTTCAAGGAAGGAAGAGCAACTGCCATTTACAGATTGGCCAAATGCAGTGCATCTTGGATGAAACTGTGAAGAATCAGGCACTTTGTGGGGAGAGAGGGAGGAGGGAGAGAGACAGACAGACAGACAGACAGACAGAGAGACAGAGACAGAGACAGAGACAGAGACAGAGAGAGAGAGAGAGAGAGAGAGAGAGAGAGAGAGAGAGAGAAAGAAGAAAAGGAGGACAAGGAGGAGGAGGACGAGGAGGAGGAGGAGGAGAAAATATAGGCAAAAA